CCTGTGTATACATATGTATGTATATTCACTAATGTCTTAATTTTATTTGTAACTTCGTAACTGTTATGATTACGTGTCTTTAAGAACCGGCATATAAATTCCAGAAAATTTTTTGCCACGCACAATAACCACTGCGTTGTGTGCGCCTGACCTAATTAAATATTCTGCCATGAAAAAAATCTGATTTTCACCGGTACCATGACCTATGTATTGTATTTATGTGTGTAATTATGTTATACATACGCGCGCACAACTCCTACATCGAATACACAAAATGTATATTGGAAGCACCTACCTGCCCCTTCCTTCCCCTATAGCAAGCCATCACACCCTCTTTAGCCACCTCCATCTAATAAGAAACAACATTCACCTCGTTTTCAAATTGGCGGCACAATTCAAATTAGATTATCCGATGTAAGCATACAAAATACTGTAAATGTGCCGCGAATGCTGAATGCCGAATTCTGAATGTCGAATGCCGCCGAACAGCGGCGAGTGCCAATGAAAGTGGTCATGTGGTACAATGTGCAATAACATTGCTGTTATTGTTGTTGTTGGTGCTGTTGCTATTGCCACTGAAAGTGATAGTGATAGTGGTGTTGGTATTAGCTAATAGCTGTGCTCTTAAGGCGTGCAATACGGGCAAGTGGCGTGCGGTGGTGAGCACTCTCATGCGCTTTCCAATGCTTTCGTTGCTGTGCCATGGGATGGAGCAAACGCGCGTGCTTTGGTGGAGGGCGCGCGGTGTGTGTGGCGCGCGGTGTGTGTGGCGCGATGAGGCGATGCGGCATTAGATGTTGCTGCTTTCGTTCGGTATGCATTAGCTCTGGCGTATGTGGTGGTGTCCCAGTTTCCATTCTGTCCTTGACCTACTCCACTCAAAATGAAAACACGCTATACATCGCAACGCTACAAATCGCTTTTCGCTGTATGCTTTTTGCTGCTAGCTTTTTGCTGCTAGCTGGTTGCTTGTCTTAGCGCTCATCGAGCGCAGTTGGTGTGCTCACCAAGTGAAGTTATTGACGCTCATCGTCGCTGTTGTCGTCGTCGTCGCCATTGCCATTCCGCTTGCTATTGCTCCTGCTGTCTATCCACTGTTAGCGCGACGATTGTATTGCCGCAGAAGCGCACAGAAACTCTGCTGAGCGCGCTGAGATATATGCTTCTTTATTGGAGTGGATCATTCTGGGAGCGAGCGCGCGCGCGCCAAATCAACGCGAGCGCAGGTAAAATGTAAAATACTCAGCTCTAAGCTACGCGCAAATACAAGCACATTTACCTATACGCGCGCGTGTTGCTCCATCATCTGCAGATTGGGAATAGCTTTGTTTTTGGTGATTTTTTAAAGTTTCTTTTAGCAGCGCGCGAGCGACATTAGAAGAAAAGCTTTGAGCGCCATATCTCGCGCATAGCATTTGAAGTAATTTGCACGCTCTCGCTGAGCAGCGCGGCCGGCAACATTAGCGCGACGTCCGTACATATGGCGCTTTCCGCGCGCGCTCACACACCAACACTTAGACGCGCATCAACATTTTTTCTTCGAGCTACTTGCTCACACACACACCTGTACATTTCCGCCTTGTCAAATGCTAGCAATTGTGTTGAAATTCACTGCGCTTGTATGCGTTTCGTTTTCGCTTTCAATGGTTTGTTCAAATGTATTTGCATATAGGTTTTCACATATGTACGCGCGCACACAACCTATATGCACACGTTGAATATTTGTAAACAATATGCTTGACCTAAATTACAGTTTCTTGTTTGAGTGAAAAAGAAATATACGAACAGCCGACCGAATATACAGACGGCGGAACATGCGACCAGCGACGAATGACGCGCGGTGAGCAGTGAACGGTGAGCGGCGCAAAAACGACCAACTGAAATGAGCAGAAATAATAAAAGCGTTTTTCTTCTTTTATAAAACCCAGTTCTAAGAGGTACTGGCTGTGCTGGTAGTGGCGGTGGCGGTGGCGGCAGGGGCATCTCCCTTCCATCTTAGCGGCCGCTAAGTGCAGCTTACACTGCAATCACGTTTGCATCATGGAATGGTGTCACAGCTCGCCACCCGCCGCCCCCCGCTGCGGTAGAACAGCAGTTGGACTGGGCTGATTACATTTTGTTTGCTTGTATTTTTGCCCTTATTTCGCGAAAGGGGGCAGATAGATTTCAAATAGGAAAACAATCTTTAGAATAAAGAGCATTCGTAGAATATATGTATGTATGCATGTATGTATGTGTGTTTGAGAATTATGCACGCAAATTAGATTAAAGCATTTTAAATAAAAATTTTAGTGTCTTAATTATTTATTTAGTACTGAATTCAAATTTGGTATCGAGCGCTAAAAGCAGCGATGAATAGTTTTTGGGGGCATAATCGATTTGTTGGCAGGAACTTCGCAAAGTCATTGAAAATTTAGTAAATTGACGTTTTCTCTGCAAAATATATGCATACATATGTCGACTTCCTTATGAAATTTGCTAAAAATTGTAGCAAAAATCCATCTAAAATTTTCTAAAATTTTTCATTTCTGATTTTACACTGGGAAATTAGCGAAAACTTTGAAATCTTTAATTTTTACTTCACTGATTAAGATAAGATTTCGGATTTTATTCATTTCAGGACCATAAAATAATTTTCAAAACAAAAGTAAAAAATTATAGTTTTTTTGATGACAAAATTTTTTCAAACAGGCGCTCGAAAACATACAATACAAAATAAAAACCAAAAAAATAAAAAATTAAATCAAATTAAATATAAAATAATAAACAAAATTAAAACCAAAAAAAAAATCAACCAAAAAAACAAAAAAAATAAATAAAAAAATCTTTAAAAAAACAAAAACAATAGTATCAATTAAAATAAAAAAAAATACATTTAAAAAAAAACTTAACAGAATTACAAAAATTAAAATTATTTTCAAATAACAAATTAAAAAAATAACGCTCAAAAGATGGAATAATTTTACTATTTTTGATGAAACATTTTTTTTCAAACAGGAGCTCCAAAACATGAATATAAAAAACTAAACCCAAAAAAATTAATGCCCGGTTTTACCAATCAATTTTAAAACTTATCAGACTGTTTAAATTTAAAGTGACAAACTTTCCGCACAAAATTGTGTCGTTTTACATTTTAACAAGCTGATAAATTTAAAATTGATTGGTGCAACCGGACATAAATAAAATGAAAAAAAAAATTCATTTAAAAACTTATAAAAAAATTATTACAAACATCTTTAAGGAATAAGAAAGTTGAATAAAATTAATAAAAAAATATTTTTTTAAATGATTTTTAATTAGTAATCAAATTAGGTAAACGAGATGACGTAAGAATAAAAAGATAAAAAATTACATTAGGGCCAGACTTAAAAAATAATGATTTTTTTTTAAACGTGTTCATATAAAATCATAAACGAAATTAAAAGAAAAAATTTTCGTGGACGTCTTTATTTTGTACCTGGAACAAAATAAACGGCTACCCCATGATGTTGATATATTAAGGCAACCCTAAGATACATATGTTCCCATATCTATTTTTCTCCATAAGGAATAATACCACTAAAATACCTTCCTGGAACGCCAACTGGGAGTAATCTACATACATATATTAAGTTATAACGAAAAACGGTGCGTGCTACAAATGAAGATTGGCAACCAGCCACCGCAGAGCTGTCGTCTAAAGTTTTGATGAAGCAAGAGCCTAGAGAAAGCAGGAAAGTTGAGAAAGATAGTTCACGTCACGATCTACCGTTCTTTTTCTTATGGTATGAAGTAGAAGTTTCCAAAGATTTCTGGGTGAATGAAAATCCGGTGATCCTTTGCCTAATAGCGAAGCAAACTGGGACAGTGTTATCCGCACTGTTTACGGGTACGACGTTAAGCACAGCGTTAAGCGCTAGAATAGGGGTAGTTCGGAGGGCTTCGCTAATTCCAACAAAGGCAGCACTTAACTAAAATAAATGTTTCTAGTGAATTTCAGAATGCTAACTAATTATAACCCATACAAAGATAATTGGCTCGAATATGATTTAAGGTAAATTACCTTTGCAGAAAGACCCCACCTCCTTCCTGCAGCGCTTATAAAAAAGTATAGGGCAGCTGATGCTTTTTGTTGCATTCGCTCCTCAAATGCAATTCGGCTTACAGTGACTTCTTGTCTAGGATCACACCCAACGCGATCCGAGAGCACAACTGAAAAGGAAGCTGGGCATTTAGCTATTTATATCTCCCGGTTAAATAGTATTTCCAGGAATACACCTAGTCCGCTAATAGTGCTTATGTAAAATCATACAGAATATCTAGAAACTTCCCCTGATGATGAGCGCCACATCGTCAGCATAGGAGATAGTGCAACAGCCTTTCATTTCCAGCTGCGTTGACGTTGACGATGCAGAGAATTGGTGTGAAAACGTTCCGCTGCGGGATGACCCTACTCGTCCTTTCCTGGATAGAAGCTCTTCCCCATTCCGCTATGACATTTCGGTGGCGGTTAGCACGTTAGCGATATGAACGACCATCAACCGCTATGTTTTGACTGACCTTACCGGCCATTGTTTTTTATATGTATACTGGTGGGACCGGTCTCCATGGTAAGATCATGGTGAGTCTCGTTAACATTTTGTCTCCCTCCATATAAAGTCATAAATGGTAAAATAATATCGATTGCGATTACTTATACGAATCAATAATAATAAGTAATGAACATCAAAATTAATAAGCATATTGATAAAGGTATCGTTGAATACATCAGACATGATATCGATAAATATACCGCTATTAATATCGATAATTAGTTAATATTTTTTGTCTTTTTGCTACGTTCAACTCTTAAGAACACATCGATAAATATGTATCTCGATGATTTTAACAAACGTGATATCGATAAATATATTGATATTAATTTCGATAATTAGTAAATAAATATGTACTTTTAACCCTCCAGAAACGTTTAGCTCCAACAACAACCGCTAAATATCCAATATCTTCTCCCTGCTTTTCAGCCGTGAGAGCGGATCGAATGCGCGGGGGTCGCAACAAATTCGGACCTATGTACAAACGCGATCGGGCGCGAAAACTACAAATGATGCGTCAACGACAACTCGCCTTGCAAGCGCTACGCACATCCATTGGCTCGGTTGAGATGAAGTCGTCGCCACTCTCGCCTGGTTACCAACAAGCATATCCAAATATGAATATAAAACAAGAAATACAAATACCTCAGGTTAGATACACGTATTAAGTATTTTAGCGAAAACACGATATCAAAATTAAATAATATCTATCATTTAAACTAATTTATCAACTTTATTCCTCCTCCTCCAACAGGTGTCCTCTCTCACACAATCACCAGATTCATCGCCCAGTCCCATTGCGATTGCGCTCGGGCAGGTCAATACAAGCGGCGGTGTGATATCAACGCCCATGAATGGTGGTGGCGGTGGTGGTAGCGCTGGTGGTGGTGGTGGTGGCGGCGGCGGTAATGGCAATGGTGGCAACACCGGCGCCAATAATAGCAGCAGCAATAACGCCAGCGATGGACTCAACCGCGGTGGCAGTGGCAATTGCCACGACACTGGAACTGGATCTCTGCAGAATGCGTCCGACGCGAAAATGTGGTATATGCTTTACTGTCTTATGAAATGTTAGCTTTAACTAATTACATACATACGTTGTTGATGCATGAA